AACGCGCGGGTGGCCCCGCCAATGCAGCTGGCGCCGCTTTAACGGGTGGCCCCGCAGAGCCTGCGGCTGACGAGGCAACTCCAGCGGATGACTCCGCGCCAGGGTGCGGGTGACCTTGGTCAGCCACTGCATCATCGGCTAGTTTCTGTCGGTCGCCAAATTCCTTGAGGACTTTGAAGCGTTCTTCTCTTGAGAGAGTGCCTTCTGCGGGTGCCCCCGCTGCTGCAGCTGGCGCCGCTTTAGCGGGTGGCCCCGCAGAGCCCTTGTCCTCCTTAGCTTTGGCGGCTGCTTCTGCCCGCACCGACCTCATCCCAGCTTCGGGCTTCGGCTGTGCTTTCATTCGTGCCGAACCTGGTCGTGGTGCAAGGCGCGGCTGATGTAGAGTTGGAGTCCAGTCACCTCGGAAGGCTGCCTTAGGCTGGTCGCGAGCTTCGTCCTTGACATCGCCTTGGGCAGCCGGTGGCATCGGGGTTGATGGTCCAGCAAAAGCCTTCCTCCTCTCCGTCACGGACGGGCCGGTAGGCTCTCCCTGCTCAGGGTCGTCCGTCTTGGCGATCCCTCTGGCCTTCGCCCGCCCCTGTGTGCCTTCGGGGCTCCTGGACGGGTGCCTCTTCGCAGGAGTCGGTGAAGACGAGGAGTCGGCTTCAGGTCTTGGAGGTGGTCTGCTGCCCTTGCCTGGTTGTGGACCAGGAGGGTCTTTAGGAGGGCCTTCTGGCTGGCCATGATCATGGATGATCTGCCTCATCTGGTCGATGTCGGCAGTACCTTTTATGGCCAGCTTGTACTTGCCATTCTCATGGCGGTAGATTACCCTCGTGCAAAACCACTTCTGCGCCGAAGAGCTGTAGTACCAGCAGGCGCTTCCATCAGGGAATGGATTCTCTGAGCCGTCTTCCGCCGCACATTCTTCATTCAGTTCGGTGTGGTCTGTGCCGGCGGCGGACCCGGCAGCAGATGCAACAGCTATCCAATCGTCTTCCGCGGACCCAGCGGCTGGCGCCGCGTCTGCGGGTGACCCCGCTTCTCCGCTGGATTCTGCGGGTGACCCCGCCTCTTTATGGAATCGGCGGTTCCATTCCTTGAGGCGATGGTCATTGGGAAGCTGTTCCCAATTTTCCCTGACAGCGTTGGCAACCTCCTCGGTCATAGGGACGCGATCGGCTTCAGTGATGCGCTTTCCTCCTCCAGGGACCTCCTTGTTAGGATCATGGACGTTGCCAGCGTCATCTCCATGAGACCAATTCCACGGGGTCTCACCGTGATGAAGGCTCCTGGAGGGGCGGTCCATTGGACAGCTGCGCATGTGACCTTTGAAGGGCTCGCATTGACATACTTGTTTCCTGTATGTCTTGCGATCGTTGATGATCTCCTGTTTCTTAGCCCTTTTGTCCCAAGCCTCTGGCGTTTTAGTTTTGCCACCCTTGGTACGTATTATCATGCCAGATTCGTCCCTTTTGGTACAGTATTCCTTAGAATACCAGTGGCGGATCACGTCCATCGAGTAGCCGGGGTACCAATTGATGTACCACTCTGGCACGTACTGAGCGGATACACCTACGGAGTGCTCCGTACTGCACGGATAGCCCGATGCATCATGTGTAGGGCGTCGTGGAGCTGAACGGCTCCTCCTGCGGGCTGGCCCCGCTGACGCACTGCCACGTTCCATGGGCCTTTCATCTTCATGCTCTGAGTCTCGGGGAGGCGATGGTCGTCTGTCCTTCTTGGCATGGCGCATGTCCTCCGAGTCCTCTGAGCTGTCCTGGACCATGAATACGTGCTGATACGGGCTTCGGAAGTACCCGATGTCGTTTAGCTGCTCCATCGTGAGGTCGTTGAGGTCCATCTGGTCGCAGCCCTGCATGAATACATCCATAGACCAAGCGGGTGGCCCCGCTGCTGCGGCTGGCGTCACTTCGGCGGGTGACCCCGCTAGAGCCTGGAGTGCTGTCAGCATCTGAGGTGCCGACATGTCCGAATCCAGGTATGGACGCAGCCTTGCGGCCCCTGGGCGCGACAGCAGGTCACTCATGGTTATCTGCTGATGTGCTGGCGCACTCAGGAGCTGGATTGCTTCTGCGACCTGCTCTTGGAGCATGTCCTTGTGGTCCTCTTCGGCCTCTTCAGAGTCAGAATAAGCGGGATGGCCCCGTATTTCGTCATCAGCGTCTCCCGCTTCCGAGCCAGCTCGCGGAAGATCTGGCAGCAACGGCGTGCCAATCACCTGCGGTGCCAGCGCGGCGGCGAGCTCCTCCTCGGTCGCCGGGACGGTCTCAGCATCGGAGATCTCGTCGTCGGCGGGTGGCCCCGCTGGAAGACCGAACCAGGCATTGAACGCGACCTCGTCGACTTCGTCCCAGCCGTGGAACTCGTCGAAGAGGGTCACCGCGTACTCTTCCAGGGCTACGGTCACTTCAGCGCAGCGGGCCATCACGTAATACGTGGAGGAGCCCGCGGCGGGAGCCGCTTCTGGATTGACGTAAAACTCGTAGTCAATGTAGTCTATATCATCCATAAAAGAGTTTTGAGCCAAATGTACGGATCCCTTTCCTTTCCCTTTCGGGCATTGATCGCGCAAATGCTCTGTACTACCGCATGTATGACACTTCATAGTATTGCCAGAAGCGTCCCTAGGGTTGCCCCTCCGCCCTTTCCCCTTGCCAGAAACCCGCCTGCGACCCCGACCTTTGCCTCCGATGAGTACTTCTTCAAAAACTATATCAGTTAAGGACGTGAGGAAAGCAGTAATACCCCTACCATGCATACGGCGTCTGCGACCCCCTTTGCCGCGACCCTTTCCATATCGTTTGAAATGTCGGCGTACTGCACGTCTCACTTTTCTGACCGGTTTCTTCATGAAGCGCCTCCAACGGCGTTTTGATTTGCGATAAGCCATAAAAGCGGCTTCCGCTTTTTGTTGTTCAGAAAGGTGAGTGTCATCAGCTGGGTAATCATTGCCAGCAGAGACTATGCCATTGTGATCACCGTCAGATGAGGTATCGGTGTCAGTGCCAGATTCAAACGGGGAGGGTGGCTGAGACCCTTGAGCGGATGACTCCGCTTGGCCCCAGAGGGTTGTGCCCGAGGGCGGGCTTGCAGTGTAGGCGGCGCCCGGCGTGTAGTTCGACCAGGCGTTCGCCTCCGCTGCCTCTGCCGATGCCTGGCCAGTCTGCCCTAAGAGGGTAGTGGCCTCGTTAGGCATATCGGCTGGGTCAGCCCAGGGACTTGGCTCGCCAGGACCAGCGGGTGACCCCGCAGTCGTGGCGTAGACACCTGCATGTGAGTGGTGCCCTGTGAAGATACCCGCTATGTTGCCAGGAGAGCGCTCGGCGACATGTCCGTAGTTCCTCATCCTGGTCAGCAGCCTGTCATAGTCTGCTTGTGTTCGGGGCATCTGATGATTAAAGGGCTCCAGCAGGTGTTTGGCTCGTGACGCGCCAACGCCTAACGCTCTGAAGAGAATCAGCGTTAGGATCTGAAAGTTGGGGATGACAAATCCAACAGAGTTAGCCTCGTCACGGGCCATCTCGAATCGAGCTAACACTGAGTCGATTCGCTCGCCCCTTTCGACGCGGAAGTCGATAAGGGCAGTGCCAGAGTTGAGCTGGCGCTCATCTTCCAGATTCTCAAATTTGGTGCTCAATAGGTACAGTATGTAAGTAACTGCGTCCGTTGGTTGTCCGTTGACGGTTACACCATAGTTGATGATCTGGGAGGGGACCTGCATGGCGATACGACGAGCAAGGCCTTGAAGGCCACGTTGTAGTGCTGCAGCTTGCTGAGGTGGCGTCATATTGCCGCTCGTTACGTTTATCCATGCATGTACTTCGCGAACATACTCGCGAAAGGGCGTAGTACCGGCTGGGTCCCATGAAGGGCCGGTAGTACGCGTGTCGTCCATCCCTTGCCGCACGTAGCCCACAGCACATCCCAATATTACCCATAAAATGCCGAAGATAGTTATCTTAATCCAGTGCATGTGCATCCCGGCTTCGGTGATTGGTTTAGGCTGTGGTTTGTCAGGCTCGGGCGTAGTAGCCGTGAGGCGCCTGACCGGCATGGGATGCAGGTGGCCCCGCTGCGGGTAGCCCCGCAGGGTGACCACGTTCTCGATCGAGTCGCCAATTGGCGTCTGGTGGAAGTCTGGAGTGAAGTAGCGCAGTGAAGTAAGAGAGAGCGTCTCGAGCTCGCGGGTTACCCCGCTAGCTCGATCGCGGACTGACTCCGCTCCTCGCAGAGCCGGCGCAACATGGTATTCCACCGTAGTAGTAGTCCACCAAGTTGTGCCGTGGATAACTGGTATTAGAGCGAGAGCCAGCCACACGAGAGTGTAGCCAGCTCCGCTACCAAGTCGAAATCGTACTGGTAAGCTTAGGTATGTGGTCCGCCTTAGGCGCTCCCATATCCCAGGCTTTGGCTCATATCGCATGAGCAAGAGAGCGAGACGAAGCATGGGATCTGGAGTAAAGGATAGGATCGGCATCGTCAATGGAAAAGGTATTTTCCGATCTCAGATACGAATAGTGCGCCTCGGTGAGGCACAATCATATATTTGGCCGGGCCCGGCTTGAGCCAGGCACGGCAGCGGTGCATGCTCGATATACATCTCGCCTTTAACCTTCTCCGTTTAAAGTCCAAGAAGGCCCCAAGACGGACCCAGAGGGCCCTAAGACGGAACAGAAGCCGCCCAAGATCGCCCAAGAGGCACCGAAGGGACTCCAAGAGGGACCCGACACTGGGATTACGAACTGAGATTCGAGCCTTTCACCCCAAGATGGCCCCAAGAGAAGCCCCCTCGAAGCCCCCAAGGCGTCCCCAAGAGGCCCCCTGAGGCCCCAAGAGCCCTCCCAGAGGCCCTCAAGAGAGAGACCCCCAAACAACCTCAAAAAGCCCTCCACATGCCACACGAGGCCCCTTCCTGCTCCTCGCCCTCCTCCCCCTCCACGCCCTTCTCATCTCCTGGTGTCTTTCCAACCTGTCTGTCAAATCTTTCCTTGGGGGTCGGCGGAATGGCGCAAGCCTCTTGAGTAAGTGCACCCCAGTAGTGGAGTTGATCACGCGCGAACTCTTCATGAGCAAGATGCCAGCAGCGGGAAGAAGTGATCATGCTGTACGGTGCATAGAGCTGGTAGGAGTGATTGTGATTGAAATCCACCTGGTACTCTGCTTTGAGGGCAGCGCTCGTGGCGTCCAAAACTATTGTCTCGCTCAGCCGCTGGCGTCGAAAGCGCTGGCATGCAGCTCACGACGGATACACGAAGAACCTGCGACAGGATGAGGCCCCAGGGTGCGCAAGCATCGAAGACCACGAACCGCGGCGAGAGCCGCGATACGCTCTTCAAGAGGTACGGCGGCACGGTCAGGGTGGCCGGCACCACCCTGAAAGGCAGCACGTTGACATGAATGTCTGCAGTCATGTCCATCCCCAACTTGTTCGTGATGGCATCCACTGCGGCATCCTCAATGGTCAAGTCATCGTGTCCCATGGGCTGCCACTTGGCGCCAACACCTTCAACCAACTGCTTGCAAACCTGAGGCACATAGAAGTGTACCTCCCAGCCTTGCTTTGTCATGGCATCCGCCACGCCCAATATGGGATTCACGTGCCCCGTCGATTCGCTGCAGAAGAAAGCCACCGTGCGGTTCGCATCCATGTCAGTGCCTGCTGCAATCCCTGTGTTCGTACACTGTCGTTTTGTGGAGTACTTGAGGGTCGAGCCAAGTACTGCCAAGGCTCAGGCTGCCCACGCCTGCTCTTGGAGGCTGGCCGCGCCCGTGTACTCCGAAGAGCGGGGCTAGGAGCAGAGGACTGTGCACATCACGGCCAGAAGCACGTGCGCGGACGAGGGGGGTGGGGGGGCGGGGGCCCGAAACCAGCGCAAAACGGGACCCTTTTCCCTCAGGACTCGTTTGCGTGATGGCGGCCCACACACCCTCAGTCATCACCCCCCCGTCGACGACAGCCATGTGCCAGGTGTTCGCTGGCTGGGCTCCATGGGCTTGCTGGGCGGTCCTGCGCGCGCCCTGCGACGCACGGATGCCGCCAGCCTTTTTCGGGGCCGCGTGCCCGTGCGGGGCCCCTAGACGCAGAGGTAGCCACCCCTGGCGCTCCGGCCGCATGCACAGGGCACGCCTGGCAAGATAATCGAGGGCCTCCAGGGACCAGCTCCACCACGTGGCGGCCAAGATCAAAGGACGCCACCTATATTCTAGGCCTCCTAAACGAAGTCCGAGTAGATGGGGTCGGAGGATCGCGCCGCATCGGCGATGCATCGGCGACGTCGGCGAAGCATCGGCGACATTGGCGCGGACAAAATCGGGCTCCGCATTGAGCCGCATCGCTGATGCATCGGCGATGCGGCGCGATCCTCCGACCCCATTTGCTCCGACCCCATCTGGGAGGCCCGGATATACGGCCGAACCAATCCTGGGCCCAGGATCGGCAAGCCTGCACAATGGTGTCGACCGGCGGGAAGCCCGGTTTCGAGAGGCGGGGGGGGCTCAGGTGCGCCCTCTGCCTGTTGGCTGCGTCCTCCGCCCCAGAATCCCATCAACCCTCGGGCATAAATCCCCAGCCCCCTGGGCGCGGGTGGTCCAGGGCGCTTCCTGTTCCAACCTCATTTTTTCCCTGTTTGGGAAGTGTACCCCCGCCCCTCCATGCGTTTGGACGGGGGGGGGCCCGACCCATGGCAGCGTCCAAGATGGCCCAAGATGGTTCCAATAGAGCCTCAGAGAGCACAATATGGCGTCCAAGATGACCCAAGATAGCGGCAGATGGGTCAAACTAGCCTCCGACACATGTCCAAGACGCCTGAAGACGGCCCCAAGACGGTTACAAGTGCTGTCCGAAGCCTCCGATGACCCCCCAAAGAGGCCAACATCCTTCAAAAACCAAAAGGAAACAGCGCTTTTGTTCCCTTAGGCTTCAAGATGGCCCCAAAACGGCCTAATATAGCCCCAAGAGGGTCTAAAAGGACCCCAAGACGGCCCCAAGAGCGCCCAAGAGCGCCCCAACAGCGGGCCAAAACGGCCCCAGGACGGTACTTTTGAGCCTCCGATGGGGTGGTCCGAATTAAAGAACTAGCGAAAGGGCCCGGGACGGCCCCAATGCAGCCCTTCAGGCATCCCAAAAAAATTATCCCGGCAAAGCAACCTAACAGCGATGTGTAGGAGCATATCTGGAAGCATTCCCCTTAAGATTCGGATGAGAATCCAGTTGTGGAATTCTGCTGTTCTCGCAGTCGTAGTCGCATTCGCGATGACAGTCGCAGTGGCAACGGCAGTCGCAGTCACAGCCTCAGCCTCAGCCTGCCTCAGCCTCAGCCTCAGCCTGCCTCAGCCTCAGCCTGCCTCAGCCTCAGCCTCAGCCTGCGTAAGCCTCAGCATCAGTCTGCCTTCGGCCTCGGCCTCAGCATCCCAGCATCCAGCCCTGCCTCGCCTCAGCCTGCATCAGCCCTCAGCCTCAGACCTCAGCCTCCTGCCTCAGCGCAGCCTGCCTCAGCTGCACCGCAGCCTCAGGCTCTGCTCTGCCTCAGCCTCAGCCTGCTTCAGCCTCAGCCGCAGTCCGCGTCGGTGCCTCGGCCCCTCAGCCTCAGCCTGCCTCACCTCAGCCTGCATCAGCCTCAGCCTCAGCACGAAGCGACCTAGCTAGAAGAACAAAGCGCTGAATGTACACCGATGTGTTCGACGACTGCGTATGTAATGATGTGACGATATAGAGACTGAGCCCTTCGTGAATGTCTACATGTTTTTCTGACGCCTACAAACGGCGCTGACGTGTGTGAGAAAATTGTCCGCGCAGCAAAAGCCGGCGAAGCGTGCGGGAGCTAGCATGCTGAGACAGACTACGTCTGCAGACCGCCAGCTGCAAAAGGTTGCGAGCGGCTCTTGGAAGATGTTTACGGAACGGAGCTACGGTGTCTGAAAACATGGGCATCGAAGCGAAGAGCCTCGGAGCCCTGCAGCCTGAGAAACACCGCAGGAACTCGCATACTGAAAAGGAATGCATTGCAAACCGCACGCTGCGAACCCTGCAGGCTGAGAAGCACCGCAGGATGTCGCATGCTGAAAAGCACTTGTACTGCAGAGCGCTAGCACTCCATCTCGGGCTCGGACCCCCCCCGTCCTGATCCAGAACGTGTCCGGCCACGGCCTGAAAATGCCGTTCCAACTCCCGAGGATCAGCTGGCACTCCGGCTCTGGGACACTCCAGTACGTCTTGAGCACCTTGAGCCAGGCCCCATCTCGGGATCCCCACAGCACGCTGTACTTGACCGAGACCGTGCCGAACTCATAACAATTGACCTCCGACGGACCTGCGAGTGCAGGCTGAGAAACACCACGCGATTGCAGGGCACGGCATTGCGTGTCACATGAGTGCAGGCTGAGAAGCACCACATCTCGTTTGCCTGAGATCACTCCCAGGTTATTTGATCCCGCAACACCAGCCACGGCGTAGCTGCCACAGGGGCCGCAGATAGCAACGGTTCGGTCACCCAATTGGCGTTCCGGTGAGTCACAATTCGCGCGTGGCTCCACGAGCCTGTGTAGCGCGATTTGCGGGGCACCAGTGTGCTGTAGGTGTTTTTGCCGTAGCAGAAGACGGCCTCTGGAGCCCAGTGCGGATTCCAGCGGACAGCGTAGACCCTGTGGACGCCATTGCGGATGACGTCGCGCGCACCTTCGATATGTGCCACCCATCGAAGCCAGTCAAATGCTGAGCCATCGGTGATGTCAACAGCACCTGGGGCAGTCTCGCCATGGTGGAAGTGCAACAGCGATTGGAGAGCGGCGCTGGCTTCGTCGCGGCCCACAATCTGGCGCGAGCAGGCTGCCTCTTGCAGGTGCTCCTGTGTGAAGAGCAGTGGGGCATCACCGCCAGTCTCGGCAGGCTGAGCAGCGCCACCGTCAGGCACGGCAGTCTGAGCATCGCCGCCACGAGGAACATGAGGCTGAGCAGCGCCAGGCTCATGGTCAAGGCGCTGGAAAAAAAAAAAAAAGAAAAAGACAAAAAAAAAATAATAAAAAAAAAAAAAAAAGACCGGCGCGTGGTGGACCGGGCCCCGAGGGTGGGCTCAATCGGGTCGGACGAGCTATAGTTAATGCAGGCGCACATGCTGAACGCGTCTGCACTACGGAAAACTCGAAGAAAAAAAAAAAAGAAAAAAGAAAAAAACAAAAAAAAAAAAAAAGAAAAAAAAAAAAAAAAAAAAAAAAAAAAAAAAAAAAAAAAAAAATAAAAAAAAAAATAAAAAAAAAAAAAAAAAAAAAAAAAAAAAAAAAAAAAAAAAACAAAAAAAAAAAAAAAAAGAAGTGCCTGCCGGGGCCATCCGTGTTGGAGTAGTTAGGGTGCCTGCCGTGGCCATCCGTGTTGGAGTAGTTAGGGTCGCGCTCTGTCTCGTTGATGCGAAAGAGAACCTGGGCGATGCCCTGCCCGATTATGCGCTCAGCGAAACCCGGAGCGGCAGACCGAAGCAGTTGCTTCCAGTCGTAGGACGGGTCGTTTGTTACGTCTTTGAACGACAAGTTGTTGACAATGCGCTCGGCGCGCAGCGCGCGCTGCCACTGGCAGGCGGTCTTGCCGCCCATCCCTGGTGTACGGCGGATGTCTTCGAGGTGAGCCTGCTCAAAGACCACGTCGACACCTGGCTGAGGAGTCGGTGCGGGCGGATCCGGCAGAATCTCCCACGGGCCATCGCACGGGGCCGGGGGTGGCGGGGCGATGCCTTGCCGCGTGCTGGCATTGTGACAAGGCAGGCTGAGGAGCACCGCCGCGGCTGGACGGCCAGGTGAAACTCGAGCAAACATGGTTAAGGATGATGATGATGGTGTTGATAGGAAACCTGGTATCAGCGAGTTGATGTACAATGAGGTGTCCGCAAACGAGACACTGCTGTCAACGCTGTTATAACTAACCACAAACGAGACACTGCTATCAACGCTTGCACAATAAAAAAGAAACGCTGGCATTGACACTACTAGCAATACCAAAGTGGAGTTTAAACGAGGCACTGCCATCAACCGATTCAACTTCCAATGAAAGAAGATCACAAATGAGTTCACACTGAAGTGACCCATGGGTATCAATGCGAGAAGTCTCTGCAAACTATTCACTCATGGCGACCGCCGCGCACACGCGTGTAGGAAATCGTTGATGATGATAGTGATAATGGAGTGGGGGCCAGTAATGCAGATGCACTGCTGTGCATTCACTTGCTGCGAAAAGAAACTCTGCATGAATGAGTTGATATATAATGAGTTGTCCACAAACGAGACACTGCTATCAACGCTTGTATAAGAAAAAAGAAACGCTGCTATCGACACTTCCCCCAATACTAAAGTTGTCTTTAAACGAGTCACTGCCATGAACGGCTTCAACTACAGTGTAACGAAAGGAACTGCAGGCTGAGAAGCACCGCAGGCCAACGTGAACCAGTCGTGGTGATGAGGATGAGTGAAATCTGCGATGATGATATCGATCATGAAGTCGGTTGTAGGAACCCACTTTTGTAGTAACCAACATACACTGGTATGCATTCACTTATGGTGAAAGGAAACTCGGTATCAGTGAGTTGATATAGAATGAGTTGTCCGCAAACTAGACACTGCTATCAACGCTTTTAGAACGAAGCGAACCCATCAGAACACTGTTATCAACGGAAAGAATGCTGTAGAAGGACAAAGCGCTGAATGTACACCGATGTGTTCGACGACTGCGTATGTAATGATGTGACGATATACAGACTGAGCCCTTCGTGAATGTCTACATTTTTTTCTGACGCCTACAAACGGCGCTGACGTGTGTGAGAAAATTGTCCGCGCAGCAAAAGCCGGCGAAGCGTGCGGGAGCTCGCATGCTGAGACAAACTACGTCTGCAGACCGCCAGCTGCAAAAGGTTGCGAGCGGCTCTTGGAAGATGTTTACGGAACGGAGCTACGGTGTCTGAAACATTGGCATCGAAGCGAAGAGCCTCGGAGCCCTGCAGCCTGAGAAACACCGCAGGAACTCGCATACTGAAAAGGAATGCATTGCAAACCGCACGTTGCGAACCCTGCAGGCTGAGAAGCACCGCAGGATGTC